GTAGAGGCCCAGATGGCCTCGTGCAAGGGGGTCCCCCAGGCTTTGGCCACTACTTGGGGCAATTAGCCCCGATGCACCCGAGCACCGCCTAACCCTAGCCCCTAAAGAAGACTTTGATCCAACATTACCCAGAGCATTGAGCAGCCCCAAGATCTGCATCACTGTGGGCATAGGAAATACAAGTCACTTGTTTCCAAAACGTTAATCACCTCCAAGAGATTCCGTATATTTTAATATCTCGTATTAAACTACTTCCTCTTTATTCTGTCTTCCACAGCTGCAGAAGAACGAATTGCTCCGTGCCTGGAGCCATTACCGCGAAAGAAACGCTGAAAAAGGACAAGTAAAATCCCCGCCTACCTGCACGGTCAGAGCTCCGTTTTCCTGTTTACTCTCCTTATACTTCCTCCTCATCTGCAAGAGGGAGATTTTCTTTTCTTTAGAGGGTGGGGGGGAAGCCTGTTCTAAGCCTGTGACCCCTTCCGTGCTGTAAATTGGTAGCTAGCGAGACCTACCCATGTCTCACAGGAAGCTGTAGACTAACACCATACAGGAAAGAAAGGAAAATACTAAATAAATAAAAAACAGAAAAAGAAATCCCCAAAACACAACTTAGAGGAAAGAGAACGTTCCGCGATGCATATGGAAAGATAGAAAGGAGATCGCGGAGATATAGAGGGTAGGGAGTCTGGTGAGCGATGGGAAGGAGCTGGGGGTGATTTTATCGTCTCAGGAATCAAATTCAAGCAAGCCTTGCTGCTTTGCTCTAGTAAAGCCTTACCGCCCCCCCCCCCGCCCCAACCGCCCGATGAAGAGGCTGCCCGCGCACCTTGGCCTCCCTTTGCCCTCACAATAACACGTGGCACTTGCCAGGCCGTGTAAAACGGCGGTACTTCAAACACAAGCCGTGTGGCTCCCGCCCTCGCCCTTGATTTTGGAGCGGAGCCGCCCTGGGACATCGCAAAAGAGGAATCCCGAGCGCGGGCATGTGGATGGGGGAGAGGGAAGGGCTGGCTGGATAGATGGATACACTTCGGAAATGCCGCGTTATTGCATCGAACGTATATATTCAGACATATTTTAAGGGAAGGGCCATTATTTTTCTTTCCTAAGTTGTTAGATATGACACGAAACGGTCACAATTATTTCTTACCACCAGTAGAGATCAGAGGCCACAGGCCTCGCACTTGCTATAATCCCGGCCTGATAACAAAACTCTCCCGCCGCGTTTCCTAATGTAGAGGAGCAAAACGTCCCTAACTCGCCTTGTTTGTGGCACAAAACTGGCGTTTGGGGATTTTAAGAACTTCCCATTCCGTGTATTTACAATCAACTGAGAAACAGGGGCCCTACTTGAACAGACGTGGAGCTGCGCAGCATAAAACTGCTCCAGCGAGCAGGAGAGGCTTCCCGCACCCCTCTTCCCTCCCCAGATTTCAGTATTTTCACACGTTTGCAGAGCAGAGGTTTCTACCTGTCACTCAGGAGCTCATTTGCTCCGTCCAGCCTCTGGCTGGGCAGGGAGAAGCTGGAAGTTCACACGATGATAGCAAAGATATTGGGAGCCACATGGAGCAAGATAGGAAAAACAGCCCGAGGAAGGAAAAGTAATCGCCCAAGTGTGCAAAAGGGGGACATTCTGCTTTGTGTAAAAGAGACGGACATGTGTCCACCAAATGTTGTCTCACCGTTAAAATTCCCGCTAAGGAGGAAAAGAAAAAAAAAAAAAAAAAAAGGCGCTTGTGACTGCTCCAAAGTCTAATGAGCCCCCACATGCTTCGCCCCCGCCTCCGGAGTGCATCCGTTTGAACTTTCTAACTTTTTTTTTTTTTTTTTTGAGGGTGATGGTGGTGGAAATAGATGTGAGTTGGTTCAGGTGCTGCAAAGCGCCCGGCCTCCCCCCCGCCTCATTCTCCTGCAGCTGTGGAGATTTGGGTTTCCCAAAGCAAAACCTGCCATTTTCCTGCCCTTTACCCCTAGCCCGGCAGTACCTACGCGGGCCGGTCCCCACCTGGAGCCACCTCGGGCTCCCTTGCCCCCCGCTTCTCGCCCTTCTGCCCCTGCTTCACTTGTTTGTTTTCCCGAAGAGAAAGGCTGTTCCTTTTCCATGGCACACTTGGGAAAGGAAACACAAGTCGACGAGAAGAGCTTTAGGTGAGAATGATGCTTGGAGGGTCCCTGTGTAAACTGCAGCCCCCTTGGCTATGTTTTGGGGATCACTTAGACATAACAGGGGACATTCCGTGTCTCCGTATGGGAGAAACGAACTGCGGGAATACGAGGACACTGCTTAATTTGACTGAAATTTAAAAAAAAAAAAAAAAAAAAGAAGTCTTGCGGCTAATAATAATAATAATAATAATAATAGTTTCTTCCCAGGCCAAAAGAAAAGAAAAGCAAACGTGCATAAATATCCTTGTTAGGCAGGTGAAAAATAATTAAAATCAAAAGGTGTCAGCAACCTGCAGAATGCAAAGCGAATGCAGCTCATTGAAATGCTAAGGCGTGGGCCGGATTTGCGGCTAGTTGCGAGCAGTTATAACTCCCCCACACCCCTCCAATACACCAGCGAGATCCTTTCCACACGGGGAAGGACAGACCCAAACTTAGCCCGCACTCTCTGTCCCCGGCAAGCCAGGACGGCCGCGCGACCACAGTGAATCTGCCCAGATCTGCTATTGCTCCCCGCCCCACAAAGTTCACTTTGGGCCTCAAAACCTTGGCGGAAATCTGCCGAACCCCCCGGCTCTCGGGAGGGTGAGAGCCAGGACCTCCTAAAAGTGAGAAATACAGCTCTGAAAGAGAGACAGACCCTCTTTCCTCCCCTCTCRGCCTTTAGCCATATCAACCCCTGAAAACACTTTAAGCAGATAATATTTCAGAATAACTTACTTTCAGGACTCCAGTCTATTGGTTCTCTGGACTGAAAACTGGACCCGCAAAACATGTTCACTGCAATTGCAACGTTTATCTCATCTGGAAAAGTGCTCACCCATTGCTGCCCCTTACAAGCCAAACCAAGCAGTTAAAGTGTCACTTAACATTCTAGAGAATGTGAAATATATTGTACATTGTCAACTCCCCAAAACCATAAAACTAACTTTATGGACCTCACGTGACTTTTGAGAGCCAGTGAGGGGTATCTGTCTGAGGTCTGGGCGATTTTTACGATCTAACTTCTAGATAAAACCCTATCCATTTGACATCTAAATGTCATACCCACTTTTGGTATAGTTTGCTATTGGTAAAAAAAAAATAGCAAGGGAAGGCGAGCAAATSGTTTGGGATCTGACAGTCCACTTCACATTCCTCTCAAAATCACTTAAGAAGTACCTAAACAGTGGGAGATTAAGTTTGGTAAGTTTTAAGATCCAACTTTACTTGATACGAGCAAAAAGCCTAAGCTGTATTGTAAAGATGTCAGTGGCGCTTTGCCAAATAGAGCGACTTTAAACTGGAGTATCTCGTGCCTTGTTAGAATCCCTAGGTAGCAAAATTGCAACATTTGCCATCTTTGATGATGTTAAATTATCTGCAGCGAAAATGCCTCTTTGTAGCAAGTATCAGTAGTTACCGAGCTGTAATCTGTTATTTACATGTAGAGTCAGAGACTCGGATGTGGCAGCAGTAAAGCACAATAAAATGCAGCGAGAGATGGAGGAGAGATTGCAGCTTAGCACAGAAATATATTATTTTTATATATACATATTATAGATAGAATATAGTTACAGATGTACACACGTAGTTATGTGTAACGAGGTTTTATGTGTGCAAACATAGAGATATGTATAAATACCGCTCGCTTCGTGAATGTGTATGCGCGGATAGCTGTCTATACATATGGCAATTTCTGGAGTGCGTGCAGATCCGCGGGAGAAGCTTTTATGCCGCGTTATTGCAACTTAAAGTAGTTTCAAGCAGTTTGTGTGATGCGATTTGGGGGGGTCTGTGTTATTTCTAGGCAGGGAGGCGCGAGCAAGAGCGGGCCTGGGAGGGAGCCGCTTGCGCGGGGCTCCGCGGCGCGTCCACGAGTTGCCCCGCGGCCGCGCAGCCTCTGCGCCCCCGGGCGCAGCGCGAGCCCCGCGGCCCGCGCAGTCCTCGGCGCTCGCGCGTGGCGCGGATTCCTCGCGCGAGGCCCGGAGCTGGCGGATAAAGCGCGAGCGGAGCCTTTGTGAGTAGGAGAAACGTTTATTTGACTTCGAGTAAAGCTACAAACAAATACAAAAAGCTTATTGGCAAAGTACTACCAGGCAGCTAGACATGACGGATGCCATTTTTACACATAACATTGCATTCACTCTGCCCACTACAAACTGGCTATTAGTCACATCAGAAATATTTCTAGTATTTACAAACATTAGAGCACTCTATTGTTGGTCCAATTTTATACATTTTTTTTTTTTTTTGTCATAGAGAAGTTTACCCACGTCTAAGAGCACGTCTCAGAAGGAGCCTGGGATTAGAAATCCTGGCCTGAAGTTTGAACTAAAACACAGACTGGACAATTTTAAGACAGAAAGATACAAGAGCTTTTTTTTTTTTTTTTTTTTTTTTTTTTTTTTTTTTTTTTTAATTGTATTTTTCTTTTCTGCGACTGTAGTGCGGGAACCCCCGATTTTAGCTTAGGCAGAGAAGAACTCACCCAAAAGCAGTAAACTTAAGAAGAAAAAATAATCAAATAAACAAACAATAGTATCTATTATCAATTTATAAATAAGTTATAACATTTAAAGGGCTCACATAAAACATGCTAGCTTTCCAGAAAGCATCAAGAGAGCACGGACATATACATTTATAAGAACAACAAGAGCATGAGGAGCATCTGGAAATAAAATTTAATTAAAAAAATCACGACATGAGTCCTGGGATAACGGTACCATACGCGTTGTTTTAGAATATCAACAACATGCCGAAAAGAAGGTGCCTCACTGTACAGTACTCGAAACTAAGATCTGCTGCGCTTTATTTATTTATTTAGGTATTTATTCATTGTTTCCTCTTCTCTCCTCGATATTCCTCCTCTATAATTTATGGCTGAAAGGCGCTGCCTGCAGAGGCTAAGCTCATGCTTTTCAGTTTATTATCCTTCTTCCATTTCATCCTTCTGTTTTGGAACCAGATTTTGATCTGCCTCTCGGAGAGGCAGAGAGCGTGAGCGATCTCTATTCTCCTCCTGCGGGTGAGATATCTATTGAAGTGAAATTCCTTTTCCAACTCCAGGGTCTGGTAGCGAGTGTACGCTGTCCTCGCCCTCTTACCGTCTGGTCCAGTCATGTCTGAATAACACGGACAACAGTGGGATTTTTTTTTTTTTTTTTTTTTTTTTGGTACGATATTACCCTTGGTGCTATATATAGATTTTTATATATAGATATATTTTTAAATCCCAATGCAAAATATTCCCCTTCTTCTGGCCATCATGGAAGCTGTTTATTCCCCGAATAGCGAGCTCTGCCCCTAGCTCCCTTGCCTGCTCGCACCCCTCCTCCCCCCCAGGCACGTGTAAAGCCCCCCACCCCCGGCCCCTGCAGAACCGACCCTCGCAGCTCAATAGTCCTAATTTAGCTGGAGACCCTGGGTCTTTAAATCTGCCCCTTTCGCCTTTGCCTGGCTGTCTGTGTGTTTGCGAGGGCAGCTGTTTGAACACTGCCTTCTTTTCTTCGGGAGAAAGGCGGGGGTCTTTCTGCTCCCCTCATTTCCCCCCGCAATTTTGCTTTTGCCACGAGCAGATTGTCAAGAATCTATACGGCAAAATAGGAGTAGGAAAGGACGGGGAGCCCCATCTGTGCATAGAATGCCATTTTAATGGTCAATTCTTTCTTTTCCTCCCCCTCCCCCGAAACACTCCCCTGCCCCTCAATTTTCAATTGCTTTCTGCCCCCACACACAGACAGCTCGAGCCTTAAATAAGAGCCCATTCCGCGGCAGGAATAGCGAAAGTAAAATAAAATCGCCCCCCTTCAGGCGCCAGAAGCTGCTCTCTGCTTTAGAGCAGTAGSTAGAGCAAGAAATACAAAGCAATAAATAGCTGGCGAAAGCGACAGAATGAAAGCAAGGGGAGAAAAAGAAGGGGATGAAGGAGGGGGAAAAGGGAGGGAAAAGGAGAGGGGGCGCGAAAATAAACAACAGCAACGATAAGGAGCGAAAAAAAAACAAAGATAAAAAAGAGAAGAAGTAGCTGTACCATGGCTAATGTGAAGTTTCCTCATCCAAGGGAATATCTGAGGTGCCTGCCCTTCTGGTGCCGCGGTGGAGGTTGCGATGGGCTCTGCCTGCGCTCGGGGGATGCTGCTGCTTATTGGAGTGCCCTCGTCGGCTCCCGAGGACGCGCTGGTCTCGTCTAGTTCTGTGAAATTTGTGTTGGTGCTGCCAGAAGTAGCTTGCTCGGAGGGGGACGGGGCGGGCTTGCCTCCATGGCTCTCGCTGTTGGAGCAGGGCAGGGAGTCGGGAGAAGATAAGGAGCAGCTAGACGCCTGTCTAAACCTGCTCTCCTGTGCTGGAGAAGGGAAACCGCGGGAGCTCTCGCCCACAGCCCCAAAGTGACTAGAGGAGGCTGTGCGGTTGATGCTAAGGTCCATCCCATTGTAGTTGTAGCCATAAGAGCTGGAATGCATGGTGCTTGAATCTCTGTAAGAACCGTTCATGGAACTGCTGGTCCCATAATTTAGTAACTGATAGTCGGGGCCATTTGGGTAGCGCCCTGAGAACGAGTTTACAAAGTAAGAGCTCATTTGGGTTATTTTGGAGGGCTTGATTTGTGGCTCGTGGTCGTTATAACCCTGTGCTTGACGATTTATGATGTATTAATGAATTATAGCGATGCACTGTACTTCGTTTTTGCTATGTATGCGGCCAAATATGGGGGGAGGGDGGGGGGTGCGTTTGGGCATCACGTGCTTTTGTTGACCAGTCGTAAATTCTCACTGATGACCTCAAGAGGTAATTCATGCTCTATGGTTACAAATAATGACGCTCGCGGAGCCGCTCGGCCCGAGTCAGCGCGCGGCGCCTCGAGTCCCGCGCGCGCCGCCCGCCCGCGCGCGCCGCCTTGGCGGAGCGCGCCACCTGCCGGCCGCGCGGCCGCGCAGCACGCGCGCTGCCCCTGCGCTATTCCTGCTGTTTTTTTTTTTCTTCCCCCCCCCACTTTTCCTCTCCGCGATGCAGCCAGCTCCGGCGTGGGGCTTCTTCATCTCCGCCACGCACCGCAAGCTTCATGCCCGGGGTAGCTTGTGCTTGAGGTTCTTCTGGCCGCTTTACTGCGCGGGTCATTGCGCGGCGCGCAGGAGTGGCGGGTCGAGGCGGCTTTGCAGGGTCCGAGGGGAAGATGAAGGCAGAGCGGGGCAGGCGCTGCTGCTGGGTTCTGGAGCTGGTTGTTTCGTGCTAGCATTGCCACGGCTGCATGGAAAAGTCGAGCTCTCTTAGCAGCTCTGCAGTCACACCTTCAAATTCTGGAAAGGGGAAAGAAAAAGAAAAAAAAAAAAGGAAAATAGAGAAATAAAAATAAAAAGAAAAAGAAAAAGGAAAGGAGTGGAAGTCCAGCCGTTGGAAGTGGTTGACAACGTTGTTCTTGAGATATTCTTGTTGCTCAGTCTTTCCCATTCTCTTTCAAGCGAGCATTGCACGACGTTGTTTTTCCTTTCCAATTGCTAACCTGCAAGGAATATTTGGGAACAAAAGCCCCCTGAAAAGCGACCAAATGTTGTGAAAGAATCACACTTTAAGCATTACATTTTCTTTTCTCTCTCTCCTTTTTTTTTTTTTTTTTTTTTTTTTTTCTTTTTTTTTTTTTCCAAAGCAGTTTAGGAATTTCATATGGTTGTCTGCAACTCATTGGAAATCATGCGCCATATTGAAAGTGACATATAATTATAATAATTACGGGCAATGAAAAGCGTGGCAATAATAGTAAATGTCCCACAGCTGTGAAGCTTCTGCATGAATTGATTTTAAAAGTGACTGACATTAAACCAGCTTGTGGCATGAGGGAATGCATTCATACGTAGGTATTTCTGGTGGGTAGCAAGGAAAGGGATTTGAAGTGAAGAGATACTTCGTCGTAGCGATTTCTGCCCTTGAAGCTTCAGAAAACGGTATCCCAGATAGGCTGAGCTAGTCGCTTGCTTCGCTTCCTAAATCTCCAGCAGAAAAAGCACTTCCTTTCGTTTAATTCCACAAACGAGCAAGACTTTGTGCATGCACGAGGTTCGTCTTTGGTACAGAACAGAAGCAGCGTCTACCCCATCCCAGGCAAAAGAAGGCTGTCAAAAAGAGCCATTTCAAGTGTTTGAAGAGAAAATAAGATCTAATATTCTAAAACAGATTATTAGGTTTAGTTAGGTCTTTTTCTTTCCTTCTCCCTCCCCCCCCTTTTTTTCTTTTTTTTTTTTTTTTTTTTTGCAGAACTTAAATCCAATATACTCGGTGCTGAGAAACTACTCATTTTGCAGGGAGAATTGCCTTGAAATCTGGACTTTTTTGCAATACACTTCACTTTGATTTGAGGATATGAAGTAAGGGACCAGATGTTTGAAAGATGCTAGGCAAATGTTAGGTATCTTTGGTAGATAAATGCGAGCATATTTTTGCCAGTTTCCTTGATTTATTATGTATACGGAGAGCATTTCATCATAACTCTTTGTACTGTAACAATAAAAAAGAGCGATACTAAAGCAGAATGTCAGCAAGGAAATACTATTGGTGAAAGGTCTTCCATTTCAGATTAGACAAAAAGAAGGAAAACCAGATTTATCTCTTCACTGTAACTTCCGTATGCTCGGAGTTGCTTGTCCTTGCAGATTAGCAGACAGTGCCATAAAGAGAGGGACAATTCTCTCTTTGCAGCTCTCTGCTCCTTAAGAATGACAAGTTTCCCTGGAAAAGGGAAAGATAGCAATAATGACAGGGCAGTTTCATGAGATCGAAGACTTTGTTTTTATTAGAGAATTCCATGTTCATACCTAAGACAAACTTCAAACACAACACGTACAAAAATTAATAAAATATAACTTTTTTTTTTGTTGCTTTTGCATCCTTTTAGGTAGTTCTCGTTCTTTCAGTAGATTTTCTTAAAAAAAAAATAAAAAGATAAACTAAATACAAAGACCCCAGAGATTGATTAATTTACCAAAGGAAAACAAAATAAAAAAGGGAAAAAAAAAAAAAAAAGACTTATGCCAACCGTGCATGAAACAATTTTTACAAAATTAAGACAATAAACACCCCAAATGACATATATTGCAGCACTTCCATTAAATACAAGGGTTAGCAGATTACTAACAGTGACACCAAGGGTAGAAATGCAGGTAGAAGTCCTTTTTTTTTTCCCCCTTTCCCTTTCTCCCCCCC